CCTTTCACTGACTTGCGCGTCATGTACTTCAGATCGAATTTGGAAAGTAGAAGCAACCAACGGGTTAGCCTACCCGTAAGTTCTGGTTTCTCGAAGAGATATTTAATGGGATCTAATCTTGAAACCAACATTACAGAGTGAGCTAACAGGTAGTGCCACAGCTTTCTGGTAGCCCATACCAAGGCTAGACAAGCCTTCTCTAGCGGAGTGTAGCGGGTCTCGTACTCCAGCATTTTCTTGCTTAGATAGTAAATAGCCCTCTCCACTTTGTCCTCAGACTCTTGCCCGAACATGCAGCCCATTGTAGTTTCAGTCACTGAAAGGTACAGAATCAATGGTTTCCCTAGCTCAGGCGGTGACAACACAGGTGGGTTCTGTAAATATTACTTGATCTGCTCGAAAGCAACTTGGCATCGGTCGTCCCATTGGAACTTCTTTCCTTTCTTCAGGAGACCAAAGAGTGGTTCACAAGTCAAGGTTAATTTTGCAATAAACTGTCGTATGAATTGTACTTTACCCAGAAAGCCTCGCACTTCCTTTTCTTTATATATACTATGTGTAGACACCCCATTTTTGACCGCCCTTAAGACTTGGGCGTTACTGATGGTTTACTTGGTGGTAAAAGGTGTGTAGGGCAAAGGTTCAATTTCTTCGGCAAGGAGAGAGACAAATCTCAACTTCACACCCCATTTTGGACCAAAGCTATTTTGGATGGTTTTCAGACCTTAAAACCCTCTCTTTCAAAACATTTTTGAAATAAAGTTTCTACAATGTTCCGAGGCTCACATTTTTGTCAAATAATGCGCTTTTCGATGAACCGAGCAAGGACAAAGTGGAAACGAATGAAAGAGAGATGAAATCTTTGAAAACTCTTTCAAAACACCTTACTTAGGGGTTTGAAGTTAAGGAAAAGAGGAGAAGAGGGGAGAAACCAAGTTGGAGAAGAAGTTCGGCATGAATCCGAGAAGAAGAGGGTCGAGCAGCCCTCGCTAAATTGGGCTTATTCATCTGCATACTTGGATTGTATCTATGAGGCCACCACCATTGGAAATATTACTTCTGGGGCTTCATTTTGCACTCAAGAATCTCCTAAAGCCAAGTCCCGGGGGAGGAGATATGATTGGTTGAAGTTGGGCATCATATCGGTTGGATCGAATCTGCGCGGCTTCACCAAAAAGGGCATAACTTTTTGCACAGGAGGAATTTTAATGCAAGGTTTGCACCATTGGAAAGCTAACTTCCGAGGCTTCAATCTGGACACCTATTGGCCACTTTTTGACATTGGCAGCCACCTATCAGCCATCTATTTAACCGGTCGGCCAGAAAAAATAGCAGGCCAACCATTTATTGTGCCGACCGGCCATTTATTTGGCCGATGGCCTCCTTTCATACCCTTTTGCACCCTTCAGGCATGGTGCATGCCAGCTATGCCAGCTGGGATGCACAAACCCTCTCCCCCGTGCATATGTGTGGCTATTTTGAACCTTTGACCCCTTTTGATCCAAACCTTTTGCACCCTTTGATCAAGCTTCTTGAGGAAGCTTGACCCTTTGTCAAAGCTTCCTCAAGAATCTTGCACCCTTACCTTAGCTTCTCTAGGAAGCCTTGACCCCCTTGACCCTTCTCATTTAGCTTCTCTAAGAAGCTTCAAAGCTTTCCCTTGTCTATATAAGAGACCTCCCTTCTCCTTTGATTGGGTTGAGCAAAAAACCAGAGCTACACACATATATATCTGATATATATCATCCTCTCTCTCTATATCTCCCTCTCTCTCTTCATTTTGTGTGTGTTTGAGGGCCTAAAGTGTGTGTTTGTTCTTAGTTTTGCACTAAAACACATAGCATTACACCTTACTTCGACTTTGAGAGACATTGAGGGTTTGTTCTTGAGGTTTTGGACTGATTTTAGTCAGAAGAGAGTGGTTGGGCCTGCTGTTCTTGAAGTGTTCTTCAAGGGTAACACTTTTGCTTTATTTTTCCCAATCTTGCATTAGCTTTTGACCTATCTTGCATGCTGATTTAAGCTTTGTGTATAACATAAAAAAGTTCTTTTTTTTTTGTGTTTAAGATAGTTCATTAAGGTCACTTTTGTGTTTGGGGTCATTTACCCCCTCTTAGGCCTTGTTTGGCCCCATTTTGT